TACAGAACTTAGCTTGGCATGATATGGTGATATATGCCTGTAATCCCAGCTACTCGGGAGGCTGAGGCACAAGAATCGCTTGAACCTGGGAGGCAGAGGCTGCAGTGAGTTGGGATCATGCCACCACACTCCAGCCTGCGTGACAGAGTCTCACACACACAAAAATAAGTATGTGACAGCAAACCCAATGTGTATTGCCCTTGAGTGGGGATAAACCAGTGGAGCAAAATACATGCATGTTCAGGTTCAAAGTTGGTGCTTGATAATTGCTCAGTCAACAAACGAACACCCCTCAGAAGGAAAAAAAATGAGGGAACTAGAAAGCCAAATGCCTTTCATATGACCCCCATTCTATGTACCAGGCACCCACCTAGGGCTTCCACAATACACGCCTCCCGTGTATAAGCCTCCACAGCGACCACATGCTGGAAGCAATGTAGGGACACAACGCTGCAACCACTGGCCCAGATGTCCAAGATCTGACGCACCTTGGGGCAGGCCTGGGGGGGCTAGGGCAGAGTCCGGAGTCAGCACTCCCAATCCCCTCCCCTGCCCATGGCCTGACTGCCCTCGCTGAACCCTGATCCCTGTCCTCACACCTGTTTTCTTGACCGCCCATGGTGACCAAGGGCTTCCCAGAGGTGGACATATGGCCGGGCCCTCGTCCCTTTGCCCACGTAGAAGATGGCACGGACAAAAGTCTGAAGGCGCTCAGCTGGGGTCAGTGAGAAGGCTCGGGCTGGCAGGTCCTGAGTCTCCCTGGATGAAGGGGGTAGCTCAGACAGGGAAAAGTGGATAGAGTGGTCCCCAGAGGCAGTCCTTAAAGTCACATGTCTAGTGACTCCTGATTACAGGATCAGAGAAAGGCAGTGGCTCCCCAAAGACATTCAGCAGCTTGCTTTTTTTTTTAGACAGAGTTTCACTCTTGTTCTCCTGGCTGGAGTCCAATGGCATGATCTCAGTTCACTGCAACCTCCACCTCCCAGGTTCAAGCGATTCTCCTGCCTCAGCCTCCCGAATAGCTGGGATTACAGGCATGCGCCAACACACCTGGCTGATCTTGTATTTTTAGTAGAAATAGGGTTTCTCCATGTTGATCACACTCATCTCTAACTCCTGACCTCATGTGATCCGCCCACCTCAGCCTCCCAAAGTGCTGGTATTACAGGCGTGAGCCACCATGGCCGGCTGGGCTCACGTCTGTAATCCCAACACTTTGGGAGGCCAAGGCAGGAGGATCACTTGAGGCTGGGAGTTTGAGAACAGCCTGGCCAACATGATGAAACCCCATATCTACTAAAATTACAAAAAAAAATTAGCTAGAGATGGTGGCACATGCCTATAATCCCAACTACTTGGGAGGCTGAGGTACAAGAATCGCTTGAACCCAGGAGGCAGAGGTTGCAGTGAGCCAAGATTGCACTACTACATTCCAGCCTGGGTGAAAGTGTGAGACTCTGCCTCAAAAAAAAAAAAAAAAGGAAAAAAAAGAGGCTGGTGTGGTGGCTCACACCTGTAATTCCAGCATTTTAGGAGGCCAGGGTGGGCGGATCACCTAAGATCAGGAGTTCAAGACCAGCCTGGCCAACATGTTTAAACCTCGTCTCTACCAAAAATACAAATATCAGCCGGGTGTGGTGGCGGGTGCCTGTAATCCCAGCTACTTGAGAGGCTGAGACAAGAGGATTGTTTGAACCCGGAAGGTGGAGGTTGCAGTGAGCCGAGACGGCACCATTGTACTCCAGCCTTGGCAACAAGAATGAAACTCCGTCTTAAAAAAGAAAAAGAAGGAGAAGCTGATGATTAGAGAGGGCCAGTCCCTTTCTTAAGGGTACACAGCGAATAAAAACCAACCCCCAAATTTTCTAGCTTCCATTTCTGGGGCTTTCCTGCCCTAAGTACCTGGGGTCCAGCAGCAAATATGTGAAGCTAGACTTCACGACCCCCTCCCGCCACCTCCTGGCGGGATCTGGCTGCTCAAACTGCTGGGCCAGCGCGTCTTCATCTGCCTGGACATCTGGAATACAGCCTGTCCGCAGGGCTGCAGCCAGTTCTAGGCTGTGCCCTGAAAACTCTGGGCCTGGAAGTCAAGGGAGATGGAGAAAGGGATGATTCTGAGATGGGGAAGGAAGTGGGGCGGAGAGCTGGGGTTCTCTGGGAGATTCCTGGAGGCTCCCTGGATTCCACGTGCCCTGGGGAGACTAACCAGGGGCAATCTGGGCTTCTTTCAGCCGCTGGAGGTAGAATCGCCGGGTGAAGGGTGTGACAGGGCCAGGATTCTCACCAAGCGCTCGGAGCCCCTGCAGCAACTCCAAGTCAGACACAATGGAGACTGGCGGGTGCTGGCAACAGCCGACAGGGTCCCTGCCACCTGGAGAGCTTGCCTCATCCTCTGTCAGCCAGAGCGTGGCCATGTCACTATCAATGGATGTCTGGTGCTCCCACAGGCCGTGGCAGTCAGAAGCTCCAGGGGCTCGTGTCGGGGGGGTGCTATGAGCTGGACTCCTGTCTAGGAGAGGCATGGAGGAAGGGGAGGACTGGAAGCCAGCAGCATTTGGTGGGGTCAGAGTCAGGGCCTGCAGACGGGCATTCAGTTCTGCCTCCGTGCCCTGAGACCTAGGTACCCTCTGGGTGGCATGGACAACATGCAGAAGTCCCTGCCTGGTCGGTGGCAATGACCCAGCCCAGGCGGGAGTGTCGGAGGCTGGGTCCTCCGCTCCAGAGACCTCAACTGCCGTGATGAAAGAGGCATCTGAGCTGTAATCCCAGTGCCCTGGAGGGGACGCTGAGCTCCCATCTTTGTCCACAATTTCAAGGGGAACAGGGAGGCTGGGGGGTCCTGGGTCAGCCTCCAAGCCCACGTCCCTGTTGTCACCTCTGCATGGCTGCGTTTGGAGTGCTATGGAATCCAGCATCTCATCAGGAGATCCAGAGAGGCCTGGAGCTGCAGGTGAGAGTGGGGGTCAGAGAGGAGAGGAGGAGGGATGAGACAGCGATGGGAATAGGATCAGACATAAAAAGGAGATAGGAATGTCTGAGGCCGAAAAAGCTGGCCACAGAGAGTGGATGTAAGACAGAACCAATAGGCGGGGTGGGGGAGACAGTGGATGCCAGGGACTGGTCCAGAAGTCAAGCCCCAGCAGCCCTGCAGGCCCTACTCACTGCCAGGTGCAGCCTCGGGCTCCTGGGTCTCTGCCCCGATCCGGGTCCAGGTCCTGGTCCGCGTGTCGAGATCTTGCAGGACTCGCGCACACTCCAGGTGCCCCTGCTGCAGGGCCAGGTCCAGCGGCCGGAGTCCGTCCTACAGGGGCGCGGTCAGCAGGGGGCGCTCGAGGCCCTCTTACCTTCCTTCCCTCCCTCCCTCCCTCTGGGCTCGCCCAGCCGTTCTTTGCCCGCGCAGTGCCTCCCAACCTGGTCGCGCAGCGCCGGGTTTGCTCCTTGGCTCAGCAGCAGCTCCAGGCCGCGGCGGCAGCCCCAGGCAGCGGCCACATGCAGCGGCGTCAATGCCTCGACAGATCTGGGGCGGCAGCGCAAGAGGGGTCATTGCGGACTCAGCCTCCCGGCAGGAACCCCCATCTCCGCTCTGGGGACCGGGAGCCTTCGTTCTCGGCCCCCTGATCTCCACTGTCCACCCTGGGACACTGCCCTTGGAACTTAGATGCTATGACTTCAGGCCAGGACCCAAACCTCTCCCGTCTGACCCTGGAGCCTCCACCACAAGATTCAAACCCTTGGTCCTAGCGCAGCCCCATTCCCCGCCCTCGGTCTGGGGCCCCAGCGCCTCCCTCGAGCCCTAGCCCCTGCCCTTGGACCCCCAAGTTCCCTCCCCAAGATTCCCCCAAACCCCACCCTCGGGCTCCGAGGCCCTGGCCCGGGATGGTGGGGCGCCCCTTCCCGGATTCCCAGACTTCGGCTTGGGGAGACCCCGCCCCGGACCCAGGCACTACCTTACCGAGCGTTGGGGTCCCCGCCTTGGCGCAGTAGGGCCCCGAGGCAACGCAGGCCGCGCGGGTGCCGGGCTCCGGCAGCCAAGTGCACAGCAGCTGCGCCATCCTCCAGCACCAAATTAGGGTCCGCGCCGCAGCGCAGCAGCTCCTCTACCGCCCTGCAAACACCGGGGTCAGAGTGGACTCGGGTGAAAGACCCCCACTCCTGGCCCGCCCCCGGCCCCGCCCTCACCACGGCTCCTCCTCCCGCAGCGCCGCCCGCAACCTGCGAGCCAGGAGGGCCTCGGAGCACATGCCCTGGCGGGGTCCGAAGCGCACCGCCTGGCGGGTCGATTTCCTACTTCCCGCGGCTGGCTTGTGGGCATGCGCCGCTCCGCCCCTCGGCTCATGGGGACCCTCTCCGGGGCTGAGCAGGGTTCCCAGCCAGGCTGCCCCGCGCCGCACCGGGGTCCACATCGGGGTTCGAGAGCTTCGGGATTCGAGAGCTTTGGTGTTCGCAGAGGCCCGTGACACCCGGAGGCGCTCAAGCAGGGCTGGGACCGCCGATAAGAGCCCGGGCGGGAGGATGCCACTGGGTGTGCCACTATCTCATTTAAAAACGGGAAACGCAAAGGTACCCGCCTCGAGTGGGTGGAGCTACGATTAGGAAAGTCCGGGGTGCCCCAGGTCTTTAAGTCTCAGGGAATCTTCTGCAAGGGTGGCCTCTGAGAGGGCGCACGGCCTTATGAGAGGCTTAGGCCAGGCACGGTGGCTCACACCTGTAATCCCAGCACTTCGGGAGGCCCAGGCAGGAGGGTTGCTTGAGCTCTGGAGTTCGAGATCAGCCTGGGCAACTTGGATAAATCCTGTCCCTACAAAAAATACAAAAAACGAGCCGGGCGTGGTGGCTTGCGCCTGTGGTCCCAGCTATTTGGGAGGCTAAATTGGTAGAATCTCCTGAGCCCGGAAGTTCGAGGATGCAGTGAGCCATGATCACACCACTGCACTCCAGCCTGGGCAACAGAGCAAAACTCTGTCTCAGAAAATAAACAAGTAAATGAATACATACATACATACATACATACATACATACATAAAATAGAGGCTTCAATTTCCAACCCCCAGGCCGAGGGCCCGGCTCAGGCCTTTAATCATAGTGCTTTGGGAGGCTGAGGCGGGAGGATCGCTTGAGGCTACTAGTTTGTTATTTTTCCTTTCTTTTTGTGAGTGCAGGAGTTTGAGACCAGCCTCGGCAACAGAGTGAGGCCATGTCTGTCTGTTTGTTTGTTGTTGTTGTTGTTGTTGTTGTTTTTGAAACAGATCTTACTCGGTTGCCCAGGCTGGAGTGCAGTGGCGCAATCTGGGCTCACTGCAACATTTGCCTCCTGGGTTCAAGTTATTCTCCTGCCT